AGTGGTTTGCTGCGTTCTGCCTTCTGGCTTCCAGCAATGCTGTTCTCAAATCTGATATCAACCTACTGCTCTAATTTTTAATTCTTTGTATAAAATTTATCCCTCCTTCTCCTTGTTACATCCTGTGAGTCTGGGGTTTAGGGGTCCCCAGACTCACCCTTGCTGGGCCTGTCTCTCTCTCTCTCTGACTCAGAGGAAGGGGAGTCAGAGAAGACCAGGGCAAAGCAAGAACTTTATTGTAGGTATTAAAAGAAGTGGTACACAACCACTTTGGAGGAAGAGTGGGGTATCCAGAGCTGAGTGTGGGCCAGCAATCCTGTTCTTATAGGGTTAGAGTCCCAACCCCACACCCTCACCTATCCCCTAGAAGCATTTATAATCTTCTCTTTGTCACCATGGACTTTGAAACTTCATGATGATGTGTCATGGGGTAGATCTATCTTCATTCTTTTTCACGACAAAGTTTGTCTTTAAGTTTTTTCCAGAAGGCTATGTGAATAGTAATGCCATATCTTCAAAAACATTTGTGGGCCAGGGATTTAGCTCAGTGGCACTGCATCTGCCTCGCAAGTACAAGGTCATGAATTTGATCTCTGGTACCAAAAAAAAAAAAAAGTTTGTTACTTTTATACTTGAATGACTATTTAGCTGGGTAAAAAAACACGTATCAGATTGTTATTTTTTTTAAGTGTGATTAAAAACATGACACTAAATTTGTATCTTAACCATTTAAGTGTACAGTTCAGTAGTGCTATCTTCACACTGCATTTTTTCATCTTGCAAAAACTTTGCACTCACTGAACATTAATTGCCCCTCCCCTAGGCCTTTGGCAACCACCTTTCTACCTTCCCTTTCTATGAATTTCACCACTTCAGAAACGTCATATGAATGGAATCACACAAGTTCATCCATGTAGCATAGGAAAGGATTTCCTTCTTTTCAAAAGCTGAAGAACATTCCATTGTATGTATATCTTACATTTTCTTTACCCAGTCACCAGTTGATAGACACTGGAGTACATCCATTTTTTGGATACTGCACATAGTGCTGCAGTGAATGTGAGTGTGCGAATGTATTTTTGAGATCCTACTTTGAACTCTTTTGTATTAGTACCTAGAAATGGGATTGTTGGATCATATGGTAGCTCTATTTTGATTTCTTGAGGACTCTATACACTTTTCCATAATGGCTGCACCATTTTATATTCCCACCAAGAGGGCACAATAGTTCCAATTTCTCTCCATTGTTGCCAACATGTTATTTTATGTTCTTTTGATAGTGGGCATCCTACTGGATAGATTGCTCTTTTCTTGAGATTTCTGAAGGAATTGCTCAGCCCTCTTAAGGGATCTGAATTTGTCCTGACTCTTCTCTTTGTAAGTTAACTGGGTATTTTCTTTTTTCTTTTTTCTTTTTCTTTTTCTTTTTTTTTTTTTTTGGTACTGGGGATCAAACACAGGACCTTATGCTTTCAAGGTGGGCGGCTGAACCACTGAGCTATATCCCCCGCCTAGAACATCTTACTCCTAGTAACTGCATCTTAGAATCCATCAATCAGCTTTTTCCGGGCCTCCTCCCTGCTGCTCCTCCCAGCCTCTGGTAACCACCATTTTACTTTCAACTTCTATGAGGTGAACTTTTTAGATTCCGTGTATGAATGCAATAATGCAGTTCATGTCTTTCTGTGCCTGGTCTCTTTTACTTAATTTCAGTTTCACCTATGTTTTTGCAAATGACAGTGCTGTGGGATTTTCGTGCAGAGAGGGGACATCGAGGACTTTTTCTCAGGAAGTGGTTTTATTCCTGCTGGCACTGACTCAGCAGATTCATAGCCAAAGACTGAGGGCAGAACATGGTGCAGTTGCACCCTTTTATACAATTTTTGTGTCTTTGCCTCCCTTATATGGGCATACACTAACATTTTACAGTCTGGCTGAGTCCACATTAACATTCTACAGTCTGGTTGGGTATGATTTATGTTACAGAGTTACATCAGGACTACACTTGTACACAGAGGCTAATATCAATACATTGTAAAAAGTTCCCGGGCTGGGGATTTAACTCAGTGGTTTCGCCTCCTGCTGCGCAAGGGCAAGGACCTGAGTTCGATCCCCAGTACCAAAAAAAAGCAAAAACAAAAGTTCCCGCCCTACATATCTACCACAACAAGACGTTATTCTTTTTTATGGATGATAGTATTCTAATGTGTATAAATACCACATTTTCTTTGTCCAATCCTCAGTTGTGGTTTCCATTTCTTGGCTATTGTGAACAGTGCTGAAATAAACCAGAGTGCAGATGTTTCTTTGGCATAATGAATTCACTTCCTTTGAATTTATACCTAGTAGTGGAATTGCTCGATCATATTTTAATTTTTTGCCAAAACTCCATCCTGTTTTTCATAATGGCTGTGCTAATTTGCAAGGCTTCCTTTTCTCCCCATTCTCACCAACATTTGTGGTCTTTGTCTTTTTGATAATAGCAACTCTTACCAAGGTAAGGTGACATTGTGGCTTTTATTTACACTTCCCTGACGGTTAATGATGTTAATAATTTCTTATGTACTTGTTAGCCATTTGTATGTCTTCTTTTGTGAATATCTATTTAGGTGTGTAGCTCATTTTTAAATTGAGTTATTTGGGTTTTGGTGTTGAGCTTTTAGAGATACTTAAATATTCTGGATATTAACCCCTTGTCAAATGCACGGTTCACAAATATTTTTTTCCATTTTGTAGGTTATCTCTTTATTTTGGTTATTGTTTCCTTTGCTGTGCAGAAACTTTCTAGTTTTATGTAATCTCGTTAATCTATTTTTGCTTTTGTGGTCTTGTAAAAAAAAAATCCTTACAAATTTCAGTGTCCTGAACCATTTTTCTTATATTTTGTTCTAGTAGTTTCATAATTTCAGGTCTTACATTTATGTCTTTAACTTATTTTGAATTGAATGTAGTAACTTGGTGGTAGATAGGGTTCTACTTTCATTCTTCTACATATGGATATCCAATTTTCCCAGCACCATTTATCGAAAAGACTGGCCTTTCTCCAATGTGTGCTCTTAGAATCTTTGTCAGAAACCAGTTGATGCATGGATTTATTTCTAGACTCTCTATTCAGTTCCATTGGTCTGTGTGTCTGTATTTTTATGCCAGCACCATGCTGTTTGGATTTCTACAGAGTTGTAGTATATTTAGAGATAAATGGTCTAACACCTGCTGCTTTGTTCTTTTTGCTCAAAAGGACTGGCTATTTGTGTGTGTGTGTGTGTGTGTGTGTGTGTGTGTGTGTTGTGGCTCCATACAAACTTTAGGACAATTCTATTTTTAAAATGCCATTGATATTTTGATAGGGATTGCACTGAGTTTGTACTGAAGTTGATTTTTATTTTTCCTGGTCCAGGTCTTATTTTAAATTTTATTTTCTTGGTACCTGTACATGTTTTCTCTCTGTAGATCCAAGTCTTCTTTAATTTCTGGAAAGAAATAGTATCTCTAATAATCTTTCTATACCCCCACCTCAGTTTTCTTTTGGATACTCTATACTTTTCCTGTCTTCTGCATCTATTGTTTTCTTCCTAATCCTTTTTTTTTTTGGTACCGGGGGTCAAACTTGGGTCCTTGCGCTTGCGCAGCAGGTGGCGAAACCACTGAGCTAAATCCCTGGCCCATCCTTTTTTTTTTTTTTTTTTAACCAGTGCATAGCCTCCTGTTGTTTCCAGTTTTGCTTTCAGTTTCTGGTCTGTGTTTATTTCTTTCCCCTGTTTCTTTTTTGAGCTCTGCTAACTCATGTCTCATTCTCCTCAGGTGTCTCACCATCAAATCCCTGACCTCTCCCTCTAATTTGCACTTTGACACATTTTTATAACTGATGGTAAAATACTTGGACCTTGCTCTCCACTGCTCTGGTAGCTTTTTTCTTTCTTGGCTGCACCTTTCCTCCCTGTGGATTTGTGTTTTCCTGTGTAGACCTACATGGTATCTTTGGATTACTCCTCTTGGGATAGTGAGAGTGTTCTTTTTGTTTGTGTGTTTGGTTTTTGTTTATTTGTTTTGTTTTGTTTTTGGTACCAGGGATCGAACTCAGGACCTTGCACTTTCCAGGTGGGTGAAGGCTCCACTGAGATAAATCCCCAGCATGAGAGCACTCTTGAATCAGAAGGAGTTCTCACAAATCAGTGCTCCATTCAAGACAGCAGAAACCTTGAACTTGAGCTTTTGGTCCACACTTCTCCCACGCAGTGAATTTGGGCAGTAAGGGCTTTTCCCCGGGGAAAGCGTCCCTATTCCCACCTCAATGAGAGACTGCTTCCACAAATATGGTTTACCTGTTTCTCAGAACAGATGCAGGCCCAGGAGTACCCACTGCCACCTCAAGTCCTTGCTCCTGCTGGTGCAGCAAGGCAGTCACGACAAGATGCGCCTGGACCTGGGAGAAACAAACATTCTGGGCTTTTTCTGGAAGCTACAGTCAGGGTTATCTTTTCAGCTTCCTCCTGCATTTTCCAGCAGCCCTCCTGCCTGCTCTATGATTTAGCCATTTCCCGGCTTCACTGAAGACAGTGTTTTGGTTTTGCTTCTCTCTGCTTGCAGGCAACCTGGAGAGGTTGCAAGAGAAAAGTTTGACTCTTATTGCCGTGTTCGACTTTGAGGAGCACTCTGCTCTAAACCACTCTGTTCCACTGGCTTTGTAAATAGTGGCTGATTTCGGGGGGTGTGCATTTTCCTTTGTGAGAGGGGCTATGGGAGACTCTGAGTTTCTGTCTTTGGTGAGCTTATTGTCCCAGACAAGACACAGAAGCATGGCAAGAGGTTGCACAGGCAGTGTTTGGCACCTGTCCAGTAAGCAGTGTGGGTGACATACATACAGTCAGAGGGAAGAGAGGTGGGGGTGGGGAGACACCCAGGAGCTCACAGTTGAAGGCAGCTGCAGGACAGGTAAGTCTCCAGCAGGAAGGGGAAGGGGAGGACAGGAATCGGACCATTGTTTCCTCTCTGCCCTCCAGGGCGACCATGTGTGGCTAGACCCTCCCTCCACCGATAAGAGCAATGTGGCCATCGGAGGCATCATCAAAGAAACAAAGCCAGGCAAGATCTTGGTTGAGGATGACGAGGGCAAGGTAAGTGCCACAGGACTCCTCTTGGCTCCTTCTGCTGCTCCCTAACACCAGGGGTTCCCAAGCCCCAGGGGTGTAAGTGAGGCAGGAGAGACCACAGTGGAGTCCCACCCTGGTGCATGTTGGGTGTTTGTCTTGGGGATGTTTCCAGATTGCATTCAAGGGAGACTAGGAGACCAGGGGGAACAGGAAGAGGTGAGGTGCAAGAGGGCTGTGGAGGGGAAGGCAAAGCAGCTGTGCAGAGGGCAGAGTAGTTGGAGGGAAAGGTAGATGAGAACAGTGTGTGGAGGGGGAAGGGGCAAAACACACAAATGAGAGATGGGCAGCTCATCCTCCTGGGGGAGACAGGACAGCCCTGGGTGAAGAGGGGAGGCACGGGCTGCAGGGTGAGCATTCAGCTGACCTCCCTGTCCAGCCCGAAGCAGTAAGATGAGGCACTTGCAGAAGTGGCCTTTGGGAAAAGGTTCTAGACTGTGACTGAAACTCCAGATTATAGAAGCCAGAAAAATAGTAATATCTTCTATTTGCATAAAGCTGTATGGTTTTTCAAAAAACACTTTTACTTGCATGCTTTTATTCTTTTTTTTTTTTTTTTTTTTTTGGTACCGGGGATCCAACTCAGGTCCTTGTGTTTGCACAGCAGGCATCAAAACCACTAAGCTAAATCCCCGGCCCTGCATGCTTTTATTCTAACAACTGGTGAGGCCCCCATTGCAACCTGATCATTAAATCGGGCGTCCAGCCACTATGTAGCTCCCCTCCTCAGCCTGAAGTTGAACCCCAGCCCAGCTGCACATGGACCCCAAGCCCTAGACACATGCTGACAAAGTTGTAGATGGACCTGGTTTTCCCACAGGTACCCCTGGACCTAAAGCACAGACTGACTCTGTCAAGAGACTGGCCACTGTCCCCAGGTCAGCTGATCTGTTCACTGCAAAGGACCTGAAGGACACAGGTGCAAGAGGCTGGCCATAGGGCGGCTGCCCCTGAGGGAAGTCTGTGCCTGTCATTCCAGGAACACTGGATCCAAGCAGAGGACCTTGGTGCCCTCAGCCCCATGCATCCCAACTCAGCTCAGGGTGTGGACGACATGATCCGCCTGGGAGATTTGCATGAGGCGGGTATTGTGCACAACCTCCTGATCCGCTACCAGCAGCATAAGATCTATGTGAGTCCTCCTACCTTGTGTCCACAGGGAGCCCCTACAGGCAGAAGAAAGCAATGCACCAGAGAGTCTGGAGCCAGGCACTGCTCCACTGTCCTTCCTCCCTGAGGGAAGACAAACCCCAACCTTTCTCAACCTCTGGTCCCAGTCTGAAAGGAGCAAGGAAGTCACACCCTTGAGGGGGGGAAAGTGATGCTGGTGAAGCTCGGTGCCTGACACAAAGTAGGTGCTTGATGGCACACAGTAGGTGCTGCTCCCTTCCCTCTGTCTGTGGCTGAACAGAAGGCTTGCTCTGACTGGTCAGGTAGCTGCCAGAGGACAGTGAGGTGGGCAAGCCTTTAGCCCAGGTCACCCAACAAAACACCCCTGCCCACCTGAGATGAGACCTGTGACAGCTGGAGTTCCAGACCCCCACCCGCCACTTATGCGGGATCATGTGGGTAAATGGGAGACCTCCTCCCAAGCCTGGCAGTAGATACAGGTCTACCCCACCCCAAATCCCTCTAACCAGTCCCCTGGGAGAGATGGGGTTCAAAACTGACACCAGCTTCCCAGGGTGCTTGGGGCTCCACCCAAGTAGGTGTGTCCTGGGCCTCTTGCATATCTGAACTGCACAGAGGAGTCCAGAAGTGAGCTGGAGACCCTAAACACAAGACAACCAGAGGGGAGGAAAAGGACCCTGAGGAGGGCAGAGCAGGTTGAATGGGGGTCAGAACACCTGGAACTGATGATAACAGTGCTAAGCTAAACTGAACTGTCGCTGGCCCTTTCCAAATTGCCTGCATGCATCCTTTATCCGGTCCTCATGGCCTTCAAAGCAGAGGATGGATAATCCAGCTGGGCTTCTCCAGGCTCCCAAAGAGCAGGTGGTGCTGGGCCCCCTGCCCCTGAAGCTCATGTTCCTGGTGGCCACTCCCTCTTCCCTGAGGAAGGGTCTGAGCAGTTGAGGGTCTTATTGCCACCTCCCAACGTACAGTCAGATCCCACTTTGGCACCAGAGTTGTGGGTCCTGGGAGCTCTCAAGGGTTGCACCCAAGGCTGGGCCAGGGCCATCATTCCTCCCTGGGGAGGGGCCCCTAACCACCTCCTCCTTCCCCAGACCTACACAGGATCCATCCTGGTGGCCGTGAACCCATTCCAGCTGCTGCCGCTATACACCCTGGAACAGGTGCAGCTCTACTACGGCCGCCACGTGGGTGAGCTGCCCCCACATGTCTTTGCCATCGCCAACACTTGCTATTTCAACCTGAGGAAGAACAAGAGGGACCAGTGCTGTATCATCAGGTGGGGCTCAGCTCCCCTTGTTCCTGGGGGCAGACTGGGCAGATGAGGGCACAGGGGTCAAATAGGTGAGGTCTCACCCCCTAGAACCTCAGAGTAGCCGCAGGTGAGGACCAGGTGGCAGCCACTCCAGGAGCAGCTGTCAGGTCACTGGAGCCCAGGAGGGACTCCATTTCCGGTCCACCTGTTGGTCTGGTCTGGCCTGGCCTGGGACTGACCACAGGCCCTCTTGCTGCCAAGGGGAGGGAGTTCAAGAGGGAAGAGGAGGTGCAGTGGAAAGTTGGTTCCTGAGCATCTGGCTTGGTGCTGAGTAGTCATTCATGTATTCATTTTTATTCATTTGTTGTTCATTCTAGATGTAATAGAGCCCCCACTGTGCCCCTCATTGTTCTAACAAGATAACAGCAGCATAAAAAAGGAACTAAAATCTCTGTCTCATGGAGCTGCCATGCTGGAAGGGGAAACAGGGAGGCAATAAATAAATATACTTTTATGCAGATACTAAGAGCTTTGAAAAAAAGCATGGCAGGAGAAGAGGAAACAGAGTAGGTGCTTTAAGTGGACAGGAGACTAGGCACGGCCTCCCTGAGCAGAGACAGTGTTTTAAACAGAAACCAGAATGATGTCCTGGACCGTAGGTGACCCCTAATGTCCTCGACCACCCAGCAAAACAGATATTCTTATTCCCACGTTATGGTGGGGAATCCTACAATGAGGGAGGTAGGGATCATTTCCTAGGGGCACATAGCAGTGGAGTGGGGGATTTAAACTCAGGGCTCTGGAGATGAAGATAGAAAGGTGCCCTGGGACGGAGCTGTCCCAATTTGTCCCCCAAGACAGGGCCTCAAAAGACCTCCTAAACCAAGCTGGAGCACAGGGCGGCCAGCCAGGAAGCCCCCAGGGCCAGCTTCCTCCAGATGGCAGGAGTGCTGATGGAGACTGAGTCCAAAGGGAGAGGCCAGGGACCTGGTATGCTGCACTGAACAAGACGTCATTCTGAGTCACACTGGGTTCAAAGGGTTGACTGAGCTGAGAGTCTGAGACCAGCCTGGGCAACACAGCAAGAACCTAACTCAAAAACTAAATGGAAAATTATTTATTTATTTATTTATTGGTACCAAGGATCAAACTCAGGACTTTGCACTTGCAAGGCAGGCACAGTGCCACTGAGCTAAATCCCTGGCAGAAAAATAATTTTAAACATGAGCTTTGGAGGGAATATTCAAACCATAGCACTGAAACCACTGGGTCCTTTGACCCAGCCATATCTGAGATTAGGAACCAGGCCAGGAAGGATGAGAACACAAAGACTTTAATTGATTTTTTTTTTCTGGCTTTTTTTTTTTTGGAACCCAGGATCAAACTCGGGACCTTGCACTTGCGAGGCAGGTGGCAGAACCACTGAGCTAAATCCCCAGCCCCAAAGATTTTAACTGAAAAGGAAGAGAAAATGGGGAAGGGACTTCAGTTTAAGAAGAAGAGCTGGAAGGGGCACAGCTGTGATGCAGAAGATCAGGCTGGGCCATTAACAAAGGAAAGGGATCAGCTTTTGGGTGGTTCCTGGGGTGGGCTAGGGTGTGGTTTATCTTTTATTAAAAAATTTTTATTAGTACGTATCTTCCATACATAGTGGTCACATTCATCATAGGGAATTTGTACCTTACACAATATATCTTAATTCTTCTTTTTTTTTTCTAATTTCCCATCCCCTCCCTTCAACTCTTCTTCCCCTTCCCATTTACAGAAGGTTTGTTTCCATTTTTTCCTTCCATTCTTTGTTTTTTAATCCCTTTTCCCTTTCTTCCTGTCCCCATCCCTACTCCTTTGTTCCCATTTGAACATGTGCTTCCTACTCCTCAATATCTGTCCTCCATTTTGCTTCTTGTTTATCCTTAAGGTTTCTCACACAAGAGAAATAATGTAATATTTAAACTTGGGTCTGATTGATTTTACTTAAAATTATGATATCAAAGTCCATCCATTTACCTACAGATGACTCGAGTTTATCTTTCTTTATGGCAGAGTAGTACTCCATTGTATATAAATATCACATTTTCTTTATCCATTCATCTTCTGATGGTCATATGGGCTGTCTCCAAGATTTAGCTATCATAAATTGTGCTGCTATAGACATGGGTGTGCACATATAACTGTGGTGTAATGCTTTCATTTCTTTTGGGAATATACCAACAAGAGGAATAGCTAGGTCAAATAGGACCTCTAGTTTTAGCTTTTGAGGAATCTCCATACTGATTTCTATAGTAGTAGTACCAGTTTAAACTCCCACCAACAATGGAGAAGAGTTCGTTTTTCCCCAGAGCCTTGCCAGCATTTGTTATTGGTTGATTTCTTGATAGCAGCCATTCTTTCTGGAGTGAGATGGAATCTAAGTGTTATTTTAATTTGCATTTCTCTAATGATCAGCGGTGTAGAACATTTTTTTCATGTAGTTATTGCTTTTTGTACTTCTTCACCTGCTAAGTGTCTATTCATTTTAGAGATTGATTTTTTTTTTTGTACTGGGATTGAACTCGGGACCTTGTACTTGGGAAGCGGGCAGCAGAACTACTGAGCTAAATCCCCAGCCCCAGTGTCTATTCATTTTAGATGCCCGTTTTTGGACTGGGTCTTTGAATTTGGGGGGCCTGGTTTTTTTTTAGTTCTTTATATATTTTAGATATTAGTCCTTTGTCTGAGGAGTAACTGGTAAAAAAAATTTCCCATTCTGTGGGTTATCTCTTCATTCTGTTGGTGTTTTCTTTTGCTGTGCAAAAGCTTTTAATTTCGTGTGATCTCAGTTATTGATTCTGTGTAATATTTCCTGTGTGATCAAGGTTTTGTTCATGAATTCTTTACCTTCGCCTATGTCTTCAAGAAGTTCACCTATTCTATTTTCCAGCAAATTAAGTGTTTCTATTTTTATACTTAGATCTTTGATCCATTTCAATTTTAGTTTAGCTCATGGTGAGTGATGTGCATCTAGGGTAAATCTTTGGCATGTGGAAAGCCAGTTTTCCCAGTACCATTTATAAAGGAGGCTATCTCCCAGTGAAGGTGTTTGACACCTTTGTCAAAGACAAAGTTGCTGAGTGTGCTTGGAGTTGTTTCTGCATCTTCTCTTCTGTTGCATTGATTGTTAGGTCTGTTTTTTTGTTTTGGTTTGGTTTTTTGCCAGTACCATGCTGTTTTTATCATGGTAGCTTTGTAGTATAACTTCAGATCAGGGATTGTAATGCTCCTTTGTGCCCAGAATTACATTTGCTATTCTGTGAAGTATACTATTGTTATTTTTATTTGGATTGCATTAAATCTATGTAATATTTTTGGAAGTATGGCCATTTTCACTATATTGGTTCTGTCTATCCAAGAACAGAGGATATCTTTCCATTTTCTGATATCCTCTTTGATCTCCTTTTTTCAGAGTACTGTAGTTTTCAATGTAAAGATCTACTTCTTTCATTTAATTGATTATTAAGTATTTCATTTTTCTTGATGCTATTATGAAAGGTGTTATTTCCCTAATTTCTCCCTCAGTGAGTTTGTTACTTGTATACAGGAAGACTATTGATTTTTGAGTGTTCACTTTGTATTCTGCTATGGTACAGAATTTGGTTATAAATTCTAGATGTATTTTGATGAGGGTTTTGGGGTCTTCTATGTAGAGTATCATGTCATCAGCAAATGGTGATAATTTAACTTTTTCATTTCCTATCCATATTCCTTTTATTTCTTTCTCTTTTTTTATTTCTTTCTCTTGTCTGATTGCTCTGGGTAATGTTTCCAGAAGTATATTGAATTAAGAGTGGTGACAGTGGAATCCTTGTCTGGTTTCTGATTTTAGGGTGAAAGCTTTCCATTTTTAACCATTTAGTATGATGTTGGCTGTTGGTTTGTCATAGATGGCTTTTATTAGACTGAGATAAAGATCTTCTATTCAAATTTTCTATAGGGTTTTTATCCTGAATGGGTGTTGGACTTTGTGAAATGCTTTTTCTGTGTCTATTGAGATAATCATGTGGTTTTTGTCCTTGGTTCTATTAATGTATTACATTTATTGATTTGCATATAGAGAACCATCCCTGCATCTCTGGGATGAGTCCTACTTGGTCAAGATGTGTGATCTTCTTGATGATTTGCTGCCTTCTATTTGCCAGTATCTTATTGAGGATTTTTGTGTCTATATTCATTAGATAGTTTGGCCTGTAGTTCTCTTTTCTGATTGGATCCTTCTCTGGTTTTGGTATCAGGGTAATGCTTGCTTCCAAGAATGACTTTAGGAAGATTGCTTTCCTTTCAATTTCATTTGAGTTTGGGCCAGGAATTTAGCTCAGTGGTGCCACCGCCTGCCTTGTAAGCACAAGGTCCCGAGTTTGATCCCCCGTATTAAAAAAAAAAAAAAGATTTGGATCAATTTCATTAGAGTTTGAGGAGTAGTGGGATTAAATCTTCTCTAAATTTCTTGCAGAATTTAGCAGTGAATCCTTCAGGACCAGGCTTTTCTTTGGTGGTAGTTTTTAAATTACTTCTTCAATTTCATTGATTGATATTGGGTTACTTGGAATTTTTCTATCTTCTTGATTCTGGTTTGGTAATTCATATGTTCCTAGGAATCTGTCCATTTCTTCTGAGTTTTCCATCTTATTAGAATACAGGTTCTAAAAGTAGTTACTAATGATCTTCTGAATTTCTGCAGGTTCTGTTGTGATTTTCATTTCTAATTGCATGGATTTGGGTCCTGTTTTGATGAGATTGGCTAAGAGTTTGTCTATTTTATTTAATCTTTCAAAGAACCAACACTTTGATTCATTGATTCTTTGTATTGTTTTCTTAGTCTCAATTACATTAATTTCTACTCTCATCTTTATAATTTCCTTCCTCATATGAGCTTTGGGTTTAACGTGCTCTTCTTTTTCTATAGCCTTGAGGTTCAATGTTAGGTTGTTTATTTGTGCTCACTCTGTTTTTCTGATGTGGGAATTCACCACTATACATTTCCCTCATAG